CTTCGATTGCAGAATCTGAAATTTATGTACATTGATATGTGAAATATATTCTTGTACTTGTGTTGAAAGTTCTGAAGTGTATGTATATTGTATGAAATGACATGTTCTACATCCTTTGGTTGAGTCCTTCGAAGGATCTATGGAATGTAAATAAACTCTACTCTACTCTATCAGGGTGATGAATCAAAAATATGTTAATTTAGTTAATTGTTTGTGGTTACATTTTCAGTCTCCTAAATAAACAAATCCTTTTCATAAGTGACTCTCTTTGAGCTTGACAAGAGATTTGGTATTTATGGGGAAGTTTACAGGAACCTGCTACCAGAAATATTAAAATTTGTAATAGTGGAATTGAATTGGATAAAATTAGGAAGATGAATAAAGTGTTGTGTTTGAAAAGCCATCAGATAGGGAGGAAAGTGAAGCAGATATTGCAATGTAAGTTCATGCTATTTAAATACTGCCGTTGTTGGTTTAGTTAGTGGATATTTAAATACTGGCGTGAAGGGTTAATTAATTTATGCTTATCTAAACTTGAACTGAATTGAAACAGAATTTCACACCTAAATTCTGTTTTAAGCTGATCACATCTGCATGAATAATGATGGTGCAATCTTAGTCATAAACATGATATATTTATAATAATTTGTGCTAACACTTAAAAAAATTGTAATGACACAAAAATAGGCATTCAATGTACGGAATATAAAATTAAACACATAATTTTAAATAGATTCACATTTTAATGAAATAAATAATAATAATGTGGACATGTATTATGTCTTTGCACATATTACCTCACTCAGAATAAATTCTTGTGCACTCGAGTATTTCAATATAATGCTTTGGAGTTTCTTCAGCATTTCTATTCTTTGCTTATGGGATTTGGTAGACGTGCAACGATAATTCACCATAGTGCACATTTTATCCAAAAGATAATGCATCCAGAGAAGATTTGTGTATGGCTTAAAATGATGCCAGTTGTTCCTGAAAGACAAGTGAAATTACTTTTATTGTAACACAAAAATTAAAACAATTCAGCAATTACAGTGAAGTATTCTTGAGCAATCAGTCATGTCAAATAAATTTTCAGTGCCTTCATTATTAGGGGCTGATGATAAGAGGCTGAGAAAATCTCAGGAACAATCAAAACTAACCCAATAATTGTTTTAACAGTGAAACGAGTAGTTCTGTTGTCTCATGTAAGTGAAGTACATTTATAACCCAATACTAATGCAATGAAACTCATGGGCTAGCAAGCTGAACACACATGCAGATAATACAAATGAATGCTGGTTGAATCAAAATTCTAGAAGCCAAGGTTGTACATTTTGAGCTGAACTACATGCGCAGAACTGGCCATGTGACATGTTCAACCCACACAACAAATCAATCCATCCTGGAAACATCTCTGATATGAACCCTTCTCACCAGCATGATACAAAGCACTTGTTTAACCTGACACTAGTACTGCGGTCATTTCAAAGTCATTCAGATATCATCACCACAGATCTTATGGGGTGTTTTATATGACTACAAGATGATTCCTACTCCAAGGGTCTTATTTTTTTAGTTGTTATTTACTTAGTTTCCCACAGATGATATTTGATACTAGGAGTATAAATTACTCGGCTTAGACTTCAGTAGTTATCCAGTAATGGAGATTAGCTCTGTCTAGGGGACTCACCAGAGTAAGCACAACCTTCTCCTTACCTTAACCTGATGATTAAGATGGATCCAGTCTCTGAAACAATGGTTTTTAACAAATAGCCAAGACAATGTACATGTCCAAAGTAAGAGTCCAGTTGATAGTAGTTGCAACAAACACACCATTGTCACACACTTTACACATATTTTACGATTTCCTGTAAAACTGTACATATCAGCTCATGGATTCCTACCACAGACTTACTATATTTATTATAGTTAGGGGTAGGGTAGTAAGGAGCTACTGTTATATAGTAGAGAACTTACAAAGTGTGTTTCTGCATGAGACGATACACTTCAAACTGATAATCCCCTTCGGCTGTAAACAATTCTGGATCCTTTGACAGGTCATTGTAAATATAACAGCCATCATATGACATCCTGGATAGGGTGAAATCAATGACAGTCACCTACAAAATAAATTATTTGCAATGTGTGATAAAATGTCAAGTCCATGAAGGTGGGTAATACAATAAAACCTTCTCTATTCTTTGTCCTCTCATAACCAATTCTTTTGCACTTTGTAAGGTGTATCTTGCCTTACCTGGTGTATGCAATGCAAATTCATTTAACATTCATTCTTAAAACTCAAAGAGAAATTCTACTGTGACCATGCAAAATGCCTGTTCATACCACCATGTCATTAATTTTACCAACTTGTAATATATCTACTTCTGGATCTTTTCTAATTCTGGCTTGTTCAGTTTTTAGAACTTCAAAGTCTGTATTTCCTTTGCATTCCTCACCAGGACATGAACTGACAGAAATCCAGAACAGGGGACCAAGCCCCAACAAAGCAAGCATCCTGGGAAGGTCTTCGATGGTCAAGCCCCGGGGATTAAATAAAATATCCCAGTTTGAACTAGCGGTGTGGAGGGCTAATTTGTTACCTTGGGGTACAGTACCTGACACATAGCACAAGTGACCATGGTTTGAATACGCAGTACTCTCTAATATAACTAAGGGTTATATAACTGAACTCTGACAGAATGCTTCCTTATGTCAGAAGCAAAATGTACTTACCCGAACTCCCTTTGTGGGGATGCAATACT